CTAAATCTAAATCTAAATCTAAACTGCATTAACAGAGGGATACAATCAAGACCAAGTGAAGTACCAATAGCACTCTATAAAGCCTTAGTAAGACCACATCTAGAATACTGCATCCAGTTTTGGTCACCATACTATAAAAAGATGTTGAGACTCTAGAAAAAGTGCAACCAGGATGATTATGGGACTGGAGACTAAAACATATGAAGAACGGTTACAGGTACTGGGCATGGCTAGTCTAGAGAAGAGAAGGTCCAAGGGAGACATGAAAGCAATGCTCCAATATTGGATGGGCTGCCACAGAGAGGAGGGGATCAAACTGTTTTCCAAGGCATCTGAAGGCCAGATAAGGAATAATGGATGGAAACTGACCAAGGAGAGATTCAACCTAGAAATAAGGAGAAATGTTCTAACAGTGAGAACAATCAACCCATGGAACAGCTTGCATTCAGAAGTTGTGGGAGCTTCATCACTGGAGGCTTTCAAGAAGAGATTGGACTGCCATTTGTCAGAGGTAGGGCAGAGGGTTGGACCAGATGACCTACAAAGTCTCTCCAGCTCTGTTAATCTGTTCTGATCTGACCTGCAAGGTCTCCGCCAACTCTGTTATTTGGTAATCGGTTCCTTCGTAGTGCTGAGAGAAAGTGGCTGACCCAAAGTGGCTTCATGTCTAAAGTGGAAATTAGAACTCATGGTCTCCTGCCGGATGCCTTAACCACTACAGCAATAGAAGCTAAATTGGTGCCTTGTGACCACAGGAAGCTGTTGATTTGAAGGAAGCAGATCAAGGTAGGATTCAGCAGCAGAAACAACAGGCAAGAACCTGCCATTAATTCCTGGTTGTAGAGGTGAAGAAGATCTTGTCTTGATAAATTGTCTATTTCTTGTTTTATTCTATGCTTAATGACCAGAGGATCAACCAAAACACTCCGGATGAAGCTCTAATGAGCAAGGCACTTCCTTCAGTAAGCATTCATGGTTTTCTTAGGTCACTAGCTAATTGTTGGTCTTCCTGAGCTATGTGGCTGTATTTGCATTATAAGCAGAAATCCTTGGAGCTTTGCAACAGCAATCATTTTCCTCTTCTTCTAAATTAACCCTCGGTGGAGCCGTAGTCTCTGCACATTTTACATTAATTTCCATAACAGAACAATTGGGCTCATAGTTGGCATGCAGTTAGTCTCATCAAGAGTACTTCAAATCATATATAACAAGAAATTACCAAAGGGCTTTGAAATGTGAAGGCATCTGATGAGAACTTGCTGGTGAGAAATGCAGCTCTTGGTTAGTCCTACTTAAACATGTAGGCAGGAGTTTGTCCTTTAGACTTTTGGTGAAACTTTATGGTAATGTAGGGTGAACATCTAGTAGAAATAGCTCACATGAGGTGGACAGGGCAGGGCAGAATCATAGAATAACAGAATAACAGAGTTGGAAGGGACTTTGGAGGCCTTCTAGTCTAACCCCTACTCAGATAGGAAGCCCTACACCACTTGAGACAAATGGTCATCCAATCTCTTCTTGTAAACTTCCAGTGATGGAGCGCCCACAACTTCTGAAGGCAAGCCGTTCTGCTGATTATATTATTAATTGTTCTCACTGTCAGGACATTTTTTTCTTAGTTCCAAGTTGCTTCTCTCCTTGATTAGTCTCCATCCGTTGCTTTTTGTCCTGCCTTCAGATGCTTTGGAGAATATGTTGACCCCTTCATCTTTGTGGCAGCCCTTTAGATACAGGCTGTCCTTGACTTACAATAGTTCATTTAGAGTTCAAAGTTACGACGACACTGAAAAAAGTGCCTTATGACCGTTTTCCACACTTTTTATGACCATTGCAGCATCTCCATGGTCATGTGATCAGATTTCAAATGCTTGACAACTGACTCATATTTATGACGGTTGCCATGTTCCAGAATCATATGATCACCTTTTTACAACCTTCTGACAACCAAACGCAATGGGGGACTTGCTTAACAATGATGCTACTAAGTTAAACAACTTCAGTGATTCATTTAACAATTATGGTATGAAAGGTTGTAAAATGTGGCAAAATTCACTTAACAAATGGCTCACTTAGCAACATAAATTTTGGGCTCAATTGGGGTTGTGAGACAAGGGCTACCTGCTTTGGAGCACTACTAGCATGTCACCCCTTTGTTTTGTTTTCATTAAACTAGACATAACCAATTTCAGCAACCATTTTTCATTTGTTTTATCTCCTTTAGTCCCCTAATCTTCTTGGTTTCTCTTCTCTGCACTCTTTCTATTGTCTCAACATCTTTTTATATTGTAGTGACCAAAACTGGATTCAATATTTCAAGTGTGGTCTTGTTGACACTTAAAGAGATCCTCCTCTGGCCTCAAGATTTCTGTGAGCCATTGGCTGAATCTTTATTCCAAAAAGATTTTGACGCAGATCAACTTAAAGAAAATTGTCCTATTTAGTAAGTCCTGTTTGCTACGAAGGGTGTTCCAATAATTGGCATGTTGTGATCCTTGGAATGCAGTTAGTGTGAAAACATTGTGTTCCAATGAAGCGATTCCATCGTTGGCATTTTGATTTGAATGTTATGTAGCAATTATGCAGGTTGTCTGTCTATCTTTTGTTCAATTAGATTAGATTAACAGAGTTGGAAGGGACCTTGGAGGTCATCTAGTCCAAACCCCCACTCAAACAGGAGACCCTACACCAGTGATGGGCAACCCTTTTGGCGTGGTGTGTCAAAAATCAGCAAAAAATCGAGCATAACTCGCGTTGTGTGTCACTTTGANAATTTTTAATTTTTTTCGTCGTGCTGTGATGACGTCAAATGCGCGCTTTCGTCGAGCGCGATTTTGTCCTCCGCGGTTTTGACAAGTCACGGTATTTACTCCCCAAGGGTTGTATCTGGGTTTGTTTCTGGTTCAGCAAAATCTTCATAGGCCAGTTTCTAACAAGAACTTAACAAGCTGCATTCCAAATAACTTTTTTACCGTTGTGATCTACCGGTAGATGAACAGATCTGTCCATCTCTTTTGTCTTTACAGGGAGCGGCATTTTTACACCCAATGGCCCAAAGGCGTATCACTTTGATATGGAAAGCCAGAGTGGCAAACTCTTGATCGCAGAAATTGAGGCACGTCCCCGTCTTTCTCCCACCTACCCGCCAACTTTCAACTGGAGCTTGCATGCATCAGGGCTTCCACATTTCTCACCAGAGAGCCTAGTATTTCACAACAGTATCTATTTTGATAATTTCACCTTTACAGAACTAGCGCAGGAGGCAGGAAACTATACCGTCTGTCAGAAAAACCTCTGCTGTTATTTGAACTACAGTATGGCAGAGAAGCAAGAGGATGAAGTTTATGCTTTGGGTGTTTTTGATGGGCTTCATGTGATTGAAGGAGAATATTATTTGCAGGTAAGAGACTCAATGAGGCATGATGGGTTGTGGGACTTTCGTGTATGGAAGAGAGAAGAGCAGGGATCCATATCTGAACTGGACCGGGTTATTATTCTGACTAGGGCATGTTGCCAACAGTTAGATTTTCAGCTAAACTGTTCTTCTTACCAGCATCTTTACCACAGTGGAAGGCAGCAGGCTATTTAGAAAGTCAGCAAAAACCAAATGGCACATAAATAGCTTTGACGTTCAGCATCAGTATCTTCAGTATCACATTCCTGAAACATCTGCTTCGTTGCCTTAGGGCATGGCTGACCTCAATAAAATACTTTTTACTGAATGGAAGGAGAAAAAACTTTCTGTGATAAAGTACTTTCTATGAATTGAAGGGAACAAAAACCTTTCAGCTTGACAAACCTATCAGGGCTACATATGCATAAACAACACCCCCCCCCACACGAAAGACTATTCTTCCATCTTTTCTCCATATTTATTTATTTGCCAGATTTGTATAGCTGCCAAAAGTGATTCTTTTGGCATAACAAAAGAATAACAATTTATGTTATTTCGATACCATCGACCATGGTATCCTTCTGCGACGACTGCGGGAGGTGGGGGTGGGAGGCACTGTTTTGCAGTGGTTCTCCTCCTACCTCT